GATACAGAGTCAAAAATTCAATTAATATCTGCCATTCGTCATTTCGAAATAATGTTTTTTTTAATCTTCAAGCAAAACAGTTGATACATAATTGATTGTCAAAATAAAATAGACAGGTTTTCGAAATTAATAATTTATTTCATTCATTTTTAAAGAACTGACAGTGAGAAAGGCAGAGCTCATAAACAGACCTGTTTCAAAATTCCCATGATCCTCAAGTCTGCTTTTTGGTGGCTATTACTATAATGAAATCGTATTTATAAACAAACCAACCCACTACTGACAAATTAATGATTAGTTCTGATGTTTGACCAATCGGAAAGCTTCTCCAAAATAATATAAGAGAATGTTCAGTTCAATTGAAATTCCCTGTGATATTTTATCAGATATATCTTCCTAAAACACTATAGGCCTGTATTTTGCAATATTTCCCCAAGCAACATTTCTTCTAAAACATTGATCCACTCTGCATGATCAATTACCACTCTCAAATAGAGAAAATCTAATATTCTCTAAATATTGGGTGCGGAGGTACGTTTATGGAGCTCCTCCGCACCCAATATTTAGAGGGGGCTCATATCTGAAAAACATTTCTGAATTTTTATAAAATCAAACAGATACTGCCTGGCTTCCAAGATGCAAAAATAATTTGTATAGATAGTGTACCTTGAACACCATTTTTTATGAATGCTGCGGACTCAGTATTAAAAGGATAATTTCAAAATATATAGGTCTGGGAAAGGTTTAAAGCACACTGCGTCGCTATAGAATGAATTGCGCTACTATTTTCACAATTGTATTGATATTTGGTGTCAAATACACATATCTTGGTATATTTGAAGTCCCAAAACTGCTTAGTTTCAGAAATATCCCAAAGGACGATTCTCGGTTTGGAGAACAGTCTCCTGGGCTAATAAATTTTTTAATGAAAAATATAGAAATATTACCCAAATTAAACTATGAATATTCAAAAGAGGACATTTAGATCTACAAGATGTAAAAATAACAAATTGGTCTGAAGTAGGGATAATGCTCGATTTGACCGATTCAATAAAATACAAGTCTCGATTTGGGGAAAGAAGTTCATCAGTGTACTGCGCTAATATTTTTTTTGAGAAAAATCTAGAAATATTACCCAAATTAAATTATGACTATTCAAAAGAAGACATTCAAATCTATATTATGTAAAAAAAATCAAATTTGTCCGAAGCAGGGATAATGCTCATTTAGATTGATGAACTTCGTTCTCCAAACCGAGAATCGTCCTTTAAATTCAAAAATGACCGTTAGCTCCGCACCCTCCGCTCATTTGCTCCGCACCCAATATTTCCCACAGGCTCTGTCTGCATAGGGTGTTATTGCTCTTAAAAATTATACTTTGTTCTTACCTTAGGGATAATTCCTCTTTAATGTGAGATGTGTCATCGAGTTAATTTGATATGTGTACATTTTTACTTTTTCAATGACAATGATACAGAAAATATTAACTGATAAATAGATTATTAATCCTTAAGATAGTTTAATTCAAAAGTAAGGGTTATCAATGATTTATATTTCTCCAAGGTGAAGATGCTTTTTCTTGATATTTAACCCAGGACAGTAATTGGATGTTATTTTGGGCCTACACAAGCCAGTTCATAAACATATCATCCTGTATAATCTGTTTATTCATTATCTAGTTCCTGGAAAAACAGTAATTCATCTTGCAAGTATAAGTGCAATGATACATTAGAAAGGCAATATCTCAACCTTCCATCATTCAATGCATACTCATTTTCATTCCTTCTCATTTTCTTTAATTATCTTGGTTTTAGATGGAGCTGAATTAGTTTTGGCAATTTTTCTCAGTCATGGCAGTCACTTTGAATGTTTTAAGAACTTGTTTTGGGAACTTGATCCCTGAAATAAAAGACTTGTTTTAGCGAAAATATTTCAGGCACTGAAATGAATTTTACAGATAGACATTTTGGTATTAAAACCTAGAACTTATTTATTGAACTGATTGTTTCACTGTACTCAGGGTGACAAATTAGAATATAATTACCCATTGGGAACATTTTGCACACATGGGAGTCCTTGTTTTATATGTATGTTTGGTGCAAACTATTGCCTTTGCTGGCAGCTTATCAAATCCAATTAAATTCAATTAAATCTATGACATATTTTATCCTCAGTGGAAATATGCCATATGTTTTAACTGGCAAACAAAGGCCACTGGGTATCATATACCAAATATTCAGATGAGAGATGAATTTAAAATTCTGGTGTATTCCTGCATTATGTCCAATAAGAGCTTATAGAGATTAGCAAATGACCATCAAAATATCATCATGTTTTTCAATCTAACAGTCATCTTAAGGAATGGAAATCAGCATTAGTATTCACATCAATATATGTAGGTGTTGTGATCAGACTAAAATACCAAGGATAATAATCATGAAGAAGTTATTGCACTGGGATTGATGAGATAGTTAATACTAGGTAGTTAGGGGTAATGACATGAGATGTTACATTAATCTTTTTTTCAAATCACTTACCTTACTGTATGAATTTAAAGATATACAGTTATTCACTCTCCCAAATTTCTGCAAGTTAAAATGCTAAATTCTACAAGTGAAATTAGTGAAATCTGCAAGGGGAAAAGGTTAATTCTGCAGAAATTCCGCCGAAAATATTGTGATATTTACGCAGTCAGTCACTACGTCACTACTCAATACATGCTGCCATCTAGTGACAGAAATCAAACAATGAATTTTCACTTCGCATATTTTGGTCATTTTTGGGTTATTTCTACAGGGATTTGACTGAAAATGTGTTAAATTGTTACAGGTAACACTTTAGTGGAAAGCGCTTTACAAAATCACCATCCTGGTTAATTACACAAACAATTCTAAAACGCCTTAGGAATTTTATTTTGGAATTACACCTGTCATTTTTAAAACGCCTTTCGTGCACTTTTAACGATGTAGATATGGAGAATATCCAGCAGATGTGTGCATATACAATAAATATATTCTTTTAGCATCTAAGAGAAAACATAGCCGAGACTTTTGCCAGTGATCTGAACTTACTTTCAATTTTTGCGATGTGATTTGATGACCTATTGCATCTTTTGGCTCCCATCCATCATTTTCCGTATTTTTGTGGTGGCCCAAATGTGTAGCAATCGAAATACATCTTATTTCGTTCGGGGCAAATGGTATAAACCCGGGTAAGGCGTTTAACAAAAAACGATCGTTTTTACACTACACTCCCAAAGCACCTAATGATTTAAGGCGTTTTCTACAACTATTTTTCTAAAACTATTTTTTATGTTATGAGTATTGGCTATCAATTTTTCAATTTTTCCTCAACATGTATTGTAATAACTTCAGTATGAATGAAATGTCCCTTGGTGTTTTGGTCCTGGATTGTGATATTGGTTCTCGATTGGAGGGGGAGGGGGATGTTAGACATTGTTTCTTTTCACGTTAGATCATGGTTTTGGGATATATAGGGTCTACTTTTCTTATGACAGATTTACACTTACAGTTTGCTTTTCTTGTTGGGTTTCCTTAAAGTTTTTAGTCACCCTTCCCTTTTGGCATTTGTGCTTATATATTCTAGTGACTAGGATTCTAGGAGTTTTGGAAGAGCACTTTTGTAAAACCGAAATCAGGATATTTTTCAAACCGGGTTAAAACCTTAGGCGCCTTTCTAAAACGCATGGTGTAATTGAATTAATTGAATGTAATTGCTGGACCAGTAACTGACTATTTAAAGTTTTGGAAAATATATAGATTCCGCAGAAAATTCCTCACTAATAAATAGTTCTTTCTGCAATTCTGCGGGCAAACGCCAATTCCGTCAGCGCTCTGCAAACTCGGAATCCTGAGGGCAGGGGTTATTATAAATAAAAATATAACCTGGTGTTGGTCAAAGATGGGTTAATATTAAAAATTCATCGACAAAAATTATACCCTGATATTTTTGCTCAAATCACTTACCTTAGAACAACACAGAAAGAGATTTTAATATCTTCCCATTTGCAAAATGGGAAAATAAAAACTCATAGCAAAATTTTATCTATGCATTATATGGTAAACAAAACATGTATTATATGAAGGACAGATGATCAGTTACATGTATCTTTGGCTCAAACTATTGGATTCATTAAATTACATTTCAACAATTTTGTAGTGTAATTCATGAATATCCTCAAATAATATGTAATTTATTTAAGGATTTGAAATCTTATCATTAGGGAGTTTAAGATTAGCGTAAATAAACTATTTACCTATACCTATACGTAGTTTGTTATTACACTAAGCGGTATTTTACCTAAGATACAAGGTTTACAATACGTAATTACCGAAGATAGGTAATTTGAAAACGTATGTTTTTATCCAACAAATTATGTCATTTATTGATCAAACATCATTCATTAAACTTTAAAATAGTAACAACAAACATTTCTCATTCAATCTGCATAGAAATTAAATGGTCGAACACATTCATTGATGGGATAAATGATGCCATGTGATGAAGGATGAAATTGTTGAATTTACACATTCTTCATCAGTTTTGCTTATTGTAAATGTATGAAATCAGCCATTTTCTCTTGGTTTTAATTGTTTAACTTTACTATTTGGTCCCTCTCATTGCTGGATCATGCTAGAAATTTAACATTTCGCCTTAAGTCACTGCCCCATTAGCGGGCCCACAAGCAACACCCCCTCCCAACTACAGTAGCTACACCACACTCTCTCTGAAGTATATAACAGTTCTGGAGCTGACATGTACTGGTATATGCCATATAAGCCATCGCATGGTTTTCATTCTATAATTAGGATGTTAATTTTATCATAAAGTGAAGCATACGGTTTCGTAGCCTTTTACGTTAATCTTAAACTCATTTTGCAATACGCATTACCTATACGTATTAGTAACAAACATACGGATAGGGATAGGTACACATATATTTTTACGCTAATCTTAACCTCCCTATTATCTTGACTTACTTCCTTTTAAAATCTTCCTGAAGTCTTTTAGTGGTCAGCTCTGTTTGTTTAATCCCCTCTTCTAAGTCTGATATCCTACAAAATTGAATTGAAATTTGATATCAATTGATTCATAATTTCTAAATGTGTAGGTACAAAAGAGAAAGACCAAAACATGGCAGTCATTAAGAAACAAGACACACAGTGATAAATATCGCACTTTGAAGAGCAAACTGGCCACCATGCAATTTACCCAGCATGGCCAATACCTAATCAGACCTTGGCACTAGTATGCTCTTGCATCTGTAAACATTTCAAGTTGACAAGGTTAGCGGTTTTCCTGCAATTTTGATGACAAGAATTTATTTGTAGTGTTGAACTTTGGGAAAATTTAGATAACATTGTTTGTGACCTAATTTGATGACCTTCGACCTTGAAAATTTCACTTTTTCAGACCTCAGTAGGTCTTTTGTAATTAAGCTGACCTAAATTTAAATCCAGAATATCAATTTAGAAAATCAAATTTTTGGCCTTTTCAAGGTCACTGAAGGTCAAGGAAAAGTCAAATCTGAAATCTAAGGTCAGATTTGAACTTCTGGGAACTTGTAGATGTTTTTTAAAAAAAAATTTGGTCAATTTGGAGCAAGTTGAAAAATTCAAAATGCAGAGATCACGGTAGACGTTCGCCATTCGCCAATCGCGAATTTTCGAAAGAGGTGGCGAAAAATATGTAAAGGTATTTCGCAGTTATGGCGAATTAGAGGTGTCACGGTTTCCCGATATTGGACCGAATTTCGGTCCAGATGCTTCGGTTCGGGACATGGGACAGAAAGGGTTAATATCGGTACAAAGATTCCTTCCCTAGAATGCATAAAAACGTGTATAAATAGCGAGGAACACCTCCGACTTCGTTCTGAAAAATTAAATATTTTCACTTACCTCGTACCTAGTTTACACTTCTTTGCATTGAAAAGTGTTATTAACGGATCCGCAATTTCAGGTAGATGGTAATGCTTGTTCGTAAATTTCTTCATCGTCGTTCGCAAATCGAGTGCATTATCAGTATGCCGGATGTAGGAAAGAAATTGAAAACTCGAGCCGGCATCTAAGTCGAAAAAGTCGGCAGTTTGGAAGTATTTTGGGACTCCGATATCACAAGGTAAACGAACACCGTGCAGACTATGTGAAATGCCGATCACATTCGCGGCAGATGCTTTACATTCAATTTTAATTGACGTTTTTTTATTTCTGAATATGATTTTGAAAAGTGAAACTGAAAGTGAAACTGTCATCATCAGACATTGCATCATTTTTAATGTTCCCTTTTTTACGGTTTTTCAAAATGGCTAATTCATATTTTGGTTGGCGAAATTTTTTTTGGAAGATTTAGCCACAATGGCTAACAAGTTTTTTCAACTATCGTGATCTCTGCAAAATGGCCACCAAATTGAAAAATTCAAAATGGCCACCATGTAATTCAGCCAGCATACCCAAAACCTAATCAGATCTTGGCAATAGTCTGCTCTTGCATCTGTAAAAATTCCAAGTTGAACGGATAAGTGGTTTTCCTGGAATTTTGATGACAAGATTTGTTGAAAAATCAAAATGGCCGCCACGTAGTTTACCCAGCATGCCCTAAACCTAATCAGATCTTGGCACTAGTCTGCTATTGCATGTGTAAAAATTTCAAGTTGAACAGGTTAGCGGTTTTCTTGGAATTTTGATGACAAGAATTGATTTGTAGTCTCAAACTTTGAGAAACTTGGATAACATCATTAATGACCTTGACCTTCGACCTTGAAAATTTCACTTTTCAGACCTCAGTAGGTGTTTTGTAATTAAGCTTACCTAAATTTTAAATCCAAAATATCAATTTAGAAAATCAACTTTTTTGACCTTTTCAAGGTCACTGAAGGTGAATGAAAGGTCAAATCTGTGACCTAGTTTAATGACCTTGACCTTCGACCTTGAAAATTTCACTTTTTCAGACCTCAGTAGGTGTTTTGTAATTAAGCTGACCTAAATTTAAATCCAAAATATCAATTTAGAAAATCAACTTTTTTTACCTTTTCAAGGTCACTGAAGGTGGACGAAAGGTCAAATCTGAAATATAAGGTCAGATTTGAACTTCTGAGAACTTGTAGATGTTTTTTAAATAAACAATTTGGTCAATTTGGAGCAAGTTGAAAAATTCAAAATGGCCGCCAAATTGAAAAATTCAAAATGGCCGCCATGTAAATCAGTCAGCATACCCAAAACCTAATCAGATCTTGGCAATAGTCTGCTCTTGCATCTGTAAAAATTTCAAGTTGAACGGATAAGTGGTTTTCCTGGAATTTTGATGACAAGATTTGTTGAAAAATTCAAAATGGCCACCACATAGTTTACCCAGCATGCCCTTAACCTAATCAGATCTTGGTACTAGTCTGCTCTTGCATCTGTAAAAATTTCAAGTTGAACAGGTAAGCAGTTATCCTAGAAATTTGATGACAAGATTTGGTTTATGTGCCGCCCGCCCGCACACCCGCACACCCGCACGCCCGCCCAACAGCTCAAGACGACGACAATATAGCACTTTTTCAAAGTGCGATAATAAAAAAGCCTTAATAACCCATTTTTGTCCAACATTCTCTCTCCAACATTATACTATGTTGGGGGGATTGATGCACCAACTGATAAAATTATTAAAGGACCAACGCAAAATATTAATGTCGGATAATTTACTATGTTCTGATACTTTCTAAGGAGGGGGGTGTTATTGTCCTAAATAGTTAAGTTCTGAAAATTGACTATTAGCCCCTGGGAATTTTCATCACATTTTTGCGGATATTCCGTCTAGTGTACCCCATCACTGCTTTCTAAAATAAAAAAATATATATGTAAAAATAGTAAATACACCCAAAATAGAATAGGAATGTGATGCTGATATACAGCAAACTGATAATGGGTCTTTCATAATACTGATTCGCTGGGAGTAGGAAAGGGAGGTAGTGAAATTATCGCATCTGGTGGTACTCCGATTGCAGCATCTAAGAAAGTATGCTAAAAGTTCCATCCAGGATTGAGATCTGCAGGGAATGCCAATTTCTCATATAAAAGTTAGGTTGGACAGAGCATTGGTTCCAAACTGATGTCTGCAACACGTGTGAAGTGAAAATTATTATATCAGGTCATTTTCTGAAAATATTTTATTTGTTTAATTATGTCATAGACAGTTGCTGTAAACATGTATCTTGCAAGAGCAGATTAATGCTTGATTTATAGAAATGTATATTGCCTGTTTTTTCCTTTTCCAATAGATAGATTTCTGAAAGCTTCTAATTCAAATTCTTCATTCAACTGTTCAGTATAAATATCAAGTAATTAATCGTCACCAGTGTCAATATAACCCTACAGGTAGGTATCATCATAACATATTAGAATCACTATGTTGAAGAATAAAGAACGGATATTGCAGGTTTTCATGACGTAATCATCCAATGATCTTCAGTAGGATCAGGAAATCCAAAGGCCTTTGAAAAACAAGAGCTTCATTTACAGGGTGTCCCAAAAGTATGCCCCCCCCCCCTAGGCAGACATATTCCAGTGTCCTCATCACGCCCTGTGATCATACAAATGGGATGGAGGGGGGATTAGGCAATTTATGCAAGAAAACACAACAAATGTGGAAGATTTATTTTTTCAAGAGAAAATTTAAAACTGGATTGCCAAATAAATAGGTGCAGTGCATGGCAAAATATGTTAGGTCATCTAGTATTTTTTTGAACTGATACCCTTCTGAGATATGAGATCTATTAAAAAAGGTGCATCAACACCAACGTGCAAAAGTCAATGTTTTTGCTATAAATCGGGCAACAATGATCTACACAACCTGTAATAAATAGGTATTAGGGACGTTATTATCACAATGCTAATGACATTGCTCACTTTTTAAAGTTAGTTTCCATGTGTTATACAAAAAATAATCGAAATAAATTTATTTGGGATGGAGGGGGATCGGATGGAGGGGGAATCACATGTATGTAAGACATGATAAGACATGCTACTTGAATTTATTCTTATGACTCCAAATTTTCCCATTTTTCATTCTCCAGAGATATAATATCCAGTGTCTTACTGGGGTACTGAGTTTAGTTTTTTCAAATACATGAGTTCTTGTGAATTTGTTCCATCGTAAAGATATATAAATCCCCCCTCCATTAATAGTATGTGTCATATATCATTTTAAAGCTTATCCAAAGTTACATTGATTTGCCAAGTATCATGGTTTAACTCCCAAATGGGAAAAAGTTACAGTCATTTTAAAAGTTAGTGTAATTTGTCAAAATAAAGTTCAATTTTACACCGCATTACTAGTCAATGTGTCCCCCCTTGGCTATGTTAACAGCAGCGATTATTTTCAGATATGACCTCAGAAGCCCTTCAAATAGGGGTATGGAATTTTATAACCCTCTTAAAACCTGTTAAAGGACTTTAGAAGAGTTTCCTTAGAGTTTCTACCCTCACCATTCTCTTTTTCCAACTCAATATCCATCTGACCCGAAAAGAATTGCTGTTGTTAAGATGCCCCAGGAGGACACATTGACTAGTGTTTTGGTGTAAAATTGAACTTAATTTTGACCAAACACTAAATTTTGAAATGCCTGTAATTTTTTCACATTTGAGAGTTGAACCATGTAACTTTGGATAAGCATTAAAATGATATATGAAACATACTATGACGACACTGGTATATGTCTGCCTAGGGGGGGGCCATACTTTCGGGACACCCTGTACATGGCAATCTTCTTCATAATTATCTGAAACCTTAACTCTGACAGTAATATTTTATTTGCTAAAATGTATCCAAATGAGAATAAAATCAATTTAACATTTTATCCCATGAGTTTGGGTTTTATCAAATTTTGTCCAAAGAGAGTGATATATCTAGTCCCATTGCACCTATATAGGTGCTGTTGTAAGTGTCTGGGTTCAGACTCGAATATATAAGTAAGTCAAGCTTAACTAGAAAATGGCAACTCCACATTGTAGCAAATCCCAACGAACACTATATAAATCATCAATCTGTACAGTCACAATGTAATATTTACCATCTA